CACCAATCTTTAAATCAGATAATCCTAAATTACCCCAAAACTATAGAGGAATAACAATAAACAATAGCATTGCAAAACTTTTTAATATCATTTTAAATAACAGGCTTAATACATATTTAATTGAACATAAAATAATACATGAAACTCAAATAGGTTTCTCAAAGGAATCCAGAACATCAGACCACTTATTCGTAGTAAAATGTCTAATTGACAAATATATCAACACTGGCAATAAAAGGCTATATGCTTGTTTTGTAGATTTTCGCAAAGCTTTCGACACAGTTATTCATGAAGGCATAAAATTAAAACTATTACAATTAAATATAAACGGGCTGTTTTTTAACATTTTGTGCAACATGTACAGACATAGCCATAATCATATAAAAATAGGTAACAAATTAACTCCCCCATATAGACCAGAAATAGGAGTTCGACAGGGAGACGTATTAAGCCCAAATATTTTTAAAATATTTCTCAATGATTTTTCCAAATTACTTGATGAAGAAAAAACTGGACATGTTTCTCTTTCTGGAAAGAAAATTTCCTCACTCTTATATGCTGATGATCTTGTGTTATTATCGGATAGCCAAAAAGGACTGCAAAACAAATTAGAACTACTTTACAAATACTGTACAGACTGGTGCTTAGAAATTAATACAAGTAAAACCAAAGTAGTGATCTTTAATAAAAGTGGTCATTTTATTAATGAAAAGTTCACACTTGAAAATTCCCTTATTGAATGTGTTAACAAATATCAATACTTAGGTATTATTTTAACCTCATGTGGATCCTTCAAAGAAGCAAGATCTCATCTATATTATAAAGCGCTTAAAGCTTCTTTCAAATTATACAAAGACCTAAAAGCTGTTCACCCTCCCATCACAACACTCCTACATCTTTTTGATCACATGATAAAGCCTGTTGCATTATACGGCTGTGAAATTTGGGGAACCCTTACAGCACGCATACAAGATAAAAACAAACATTTATACGATATTTTTAAAGAGTGGGAGGCAGAAAGCTTAAATATCAAATTTTGTAAATATCTATTGGAAGCTGGGAAGAAAAGTACTAATATTGCAATAATTTCTGAACTGGGAAGATACCCTATGTATTTTTCAATTATTCAAAACATCTTATTATACTGGCATAGGTTGCAATCAAGTCCAGAATCTTCCCTGTTACATAAAGCATATACAGAAAATATTAACCTTAGTCAAGGCAATATTAACTGCTGGTACAAAAATGTAATTTATTATAGTAAGAAAATTAATCTCTCATTACCAGAATGTAAAACATACAAATACACATTTTTAAAAAAACAAATTAAGAAACATTTGAAAAAACACTTCCTACAATATTGGAAAATGAAACGTGAAGAGGGACTGGAATCTGGAAAACTTACTACTTATTTTATGTTTAAAGAAAATTTTATAATGGAAAAATATATGTACATTAAATCTCATGAAATAAGAAAATCCATTTGCAGATTTAGAATTAGTGCTCATGACCTAAGAATTGAAAAAGGTAGATATGAATCTGTAAAAAATAATGCTGGTCAAAGAATCCCCTTAGATAGAAACAAAAGAATATGTTTAATGTGTAACCAAAACAATATAGAAGATGAATACCATTTTCTTACTGAATGCCCATTATATACTGAGGAGAGAGATAAATTTTTCCGTGATATCTCATTACTAAACAAAAATTTCATATTATTATCAAAAGGAGACAAATTTCACTGGTTAATGTCTAATGAAGATAATCTAATTATTACAAAGCTAAGTGAATATCTTGTCAAAGCCTTCAAAATAAGGCATAATGCCATGAGTTTTCACAAATAATGTTATAGACACATATTTATTTGTAAACTGGTATATGTATATTAATAATATTGATTTTGATGACATGTTAATTAACAATTTGATAACCCCAACTGCTGTATCTACATGTCCAGTTACTTGTAATATTATAACAGATATATACATGTGTGTGTATGTGTGCTTATGTTTGTATATGTTTACTATAACCTTTCTTTTAGAACTTTCTATCTTGTTATTGTAAGAAACCTTTATGCCTTCTGGGCCCAAAATTGGAAATAAAATTATCTTATCTTGTAGCGTGATACACAAACCTCGTGAAATACGCACCTGCTTTCTCCCAAATGACCGACAATTCCACAAACTCTCAGGGAATAAAATAGAAAGGTTAATGCCTTCACGAAATCCATTTAGGCTGCTTATTAGCAATCATTAAATACACATATGAATATAATCATTATGTCACACAATACATGCAATAGGTAAAAAAAAATTAATTAGATGGGAATTAAGTCTGTCTTAGAAATATTTTTTTTTCAAGATATGGCTTGGGGATCATAAAACATAGACGAGATCACTTTTGATTTTAATCTCACGTTAAACAAAGAAATCGATAGTGGAAAAGTGACACTGAGATCAATAGTGGGCTCGTCTTAGAAGTTTAATGGCCCCTAGGCCTGACCTTTCCGCGATGTAGTAGTGCTTGAGACTGGGGTGGATTTTTATTTCTTCCCAGGTCGGTCGAGACTATTTCATTTTTTAAAAAACACACAGGATAGTGTAAGCAACTCTGCTTTGATATATGAATGCTTGTCCATGTGACAAACTGATATTTATATGCTTATGAATACAAACTATGATGACGTCATGAGTACAATCGGATGTAAATAAGTCTTTGTAAACAAGGATACAATCACGTGACGGATGTTTTGTTTCTGGAAATTTGCATATAAGTGCTGCCTTTTTCTTCAACACAACAGCAGCCACCCTATCCATTTCCAAGGTTGAACAATGAATAAAGGCAAATATCAAAAAGTGTGAGTTTCAGCGCGTCCTTCAATAAAGACACAACAGCAGAAAATATTTTTTCATTGCAATCAGCAGATCGTGATGAAATTAATGTTGTTTTTCTTGCATAAGGGTTTTTTTTAGATATGTTTTGGTCACTAATATCAATTGATATTAACCTGAAAGATATGTAGGTATATACATATTTAACGAGGCAGAGGCAATGAATGGTCGTTTGCGGTCTTTTTGTTTTTGTACTTGCTTTGAGAATTATGAAAATGTCCATTGTTTCATCTAAAAAAAGTATTACCTATTTTAAAGTGTTTTACTTAGAATAAAAATAGGAAAATCAAATTCCCATTGTTTCTTACTCCTCCATGACACCTGATCCCACTTCCGATGTTTTAGAGCTGCTGATTTGTATTATTTTATACTCTTTTGAGCTCAAGTACGGTTCGTTCTCTCCATGTGTCTAGGATTTTATTGTCGAAGTATAATGTAATGCTTTCTCCTTTCTTCCACAGTCATAGTCACAGCAGCGGTGGTGGCAGCAGTAGTGGTGGCGGTAGTGGCGGTGGTAGTGGTAACAGCGGCGGTGGTTCCGGTGGTGGCCACGGTGGTGGTTCCTCGGGTCAAGGACACGGGTATTTTGACGCTTAAGTGTGATTTTTTTTCTTTTTTTTTTTTTTTTTTACAAAATTATAACAGAAAAATAAACCCAATAAAGAGGTCTACAGAGTAATAAAGCGGAACATGTTAGGTACAGAAGATTTATTTTTCTCAATTTTTTTCTGAAGAAATGTAAAATGTGAAATATAAACAGTGTAAATGTCGGAATACTTTACTTTCTCGCTGACCTTCTTTTATTCTTTATAAAACATGCAGCAAAATGATGCAGACTTTCAGGTATGATGCAGTTATTAAGGTATTGTAAGCTTAAAAAAGAAGGTAGATTAATGCATTTAATACATCTTCTAAATGGACTAATGCCAATAAATGGTTTTGTTTGTTAAACGTCCCTTCAGGAAATTTTCAGTCATATTGAGACACCCACACTTGAAAGTGGAGAACTTCAAATTGATTTACTCAAATATGTTAAGGCCTGCTTAAAAACTATATAAGTAAAAGAAGGAAAGTTAAAGAATAACAAACAATATGGGGTAGTTTTACCTGAACTTTAATATATTAATAAACATTTGCCAGATAGGTCATGAGGAACTTACTGAACTGTGAACATCAAAATCTGATGTTACTTTTTTTTTAATTAGATGTTCTTAAATTATACATAGGCCCATGTATATATTACTTGGTATTAAAACGTTTAACAGTACAAATAAAAATAAGTACCCCATACGAGGCTTTAATGATTGATTCCTTAAAAGTTAGCAGCCACTTAGTTTAACGTTGTAATAATTTATAGATATTATTTCCATGATGAAATCTCAACAAAAAGAAACACATTCATTTATTATCATATCATTTAATTACCACTTTTATTTTATACCTCAGCCACGGCGGCGGGCATCATAGCAGTGATTCACAGAGTGTGTCTCATAGCGATGTCTCAGTCTCCTCACATAGGTCAGTTAGTATACAATTTTATAATGCACAAAGTTTTGGAACAAGATAGAAGAATGAAAAAATGTTATTTCTTAAAACATTAGCTCAAATAAATAATTATGTTATTTTTCTTCTGTCAAATGCAGAATGAATTGTTTCCTTTAAAATGCTAAGTATTAAAGGATTTTCCAAAAATGCTATTTTTTATGTGTCATTCTTATTGTTTATTAAATCTTACTAAACCTGTTTACTAAATCTTACTAAACCTGTTTACTAAATCTTACTAAACCTGTTTACTAAATCTTACTAAAACTGTTTACTAAATCTTACTAAAAATTGTTTCTTGATTCTTACTAAACAGCAGTGGCCATCAACACTCATTACCAGACGGTAACCCCATGTAAGTAGTTTTTTAAACGATATCATTGTAAATCTTTAAATTTGGAAAGACATGCAATCAGCAGAATGTACATTAAAAATTTTTAACATTAACAAAAATGTTAACTTTATTGTGCTCTATTTTCCTCTGATAAATGTTAGAAAATGTTTGATTAAAAGGAAGCAATGGAGAAAAAAATCAGTATGAAAATGTTTTATCCCTTTGTTAAATAGCTTGGGAGGTGGAGGAGGGCATCAGCACGCAAGCCATTCACATAGGTAAGTCGTGATTTTATCATTCCGTAATTTAAAGAGGCTGGGGATGGCAGTCATTTTCAGACTATTTTGATTTCCTTTAAAAGAAGAGCTCCATATAAAGATATACAAGAATGGTCAAAATTTACAAGTAAAATGTGGTGGGTTTTTCTTTGCCAAATGATAGGTGACAGCTTAAGATACCGTATCTAAAAATAGGTTAAATCTGGTGGTTAATTTGTTGACCCCCTGTCTCCTTAACTTCCAATTTTATTGCATTATATTTTTTATCTTGTAAATTTCGACACCTCATCTAATCCAACATAAAATCTGTTTCCCGGTTCTAGTGAAAATTAGACAGATTTATATGTACTAAGTTTTAGAAACAAGCAAATACTAAAACATGACTGAAATACCCTAATAATTATATTTGTCCTAAAACTTAGCTCAAATAATTTTTGTGTTTCGGTGATATGCCCAAAGAAATAAATCCTTAAAATGTTTGCTAATGATCTCTTCTCAAGTAATTAAGTGACTTAAAAATTTTGTTATTTAATTTCATGGACAATTATAATTAAAAACTGCTTTCTTTACTTAACAACAGCGGCCATGCCGTTATAGCTCCTCCTTCCCCGTCCAGGTAAGGTTATCTTTTATGAAAAATTAAACTTATAAGATAGTAAATATGTAAGTTTAGTAAGATGGGCAAAATGGAAAATGTACATTCCAAATTTTCCCATTTTTACTTCTGTCAATTGTACGAGAAATTATTTTATTTTAAATGATATTCATATATCTTATTTCTCTCAGTGAGTGCTTGAAATTGTTTGACTTAAATGAAGTGAAATTTGAGTTTTTCATTTATGTTGACGTCTTTAATTATTATATAGCCAAGGAGGCCACGGAGGTGGGGGGTTTTCAGGCTCTATCACACCTCCACCTTCACCAAAAGGAAAAGGAAAAGCTCCACCGAAAAGCAAACAAGGAGGCGGGGGTTCTATTTCACCCCCTCCATCACCTAAAGGAGGCGGGGGACAGGGCCATACAACGAAATGATAACAAGTAAATCATATCAGATCATGTCACAAATCATACTTCCATCACTTGCCTTAACATGCTTAAAATTAAGTAAAAAGTCTAAGTCATATCACATTACACTGCCTTCGTGAACTGAAAGAAAAGAGGTAAAACACCCTAAATAAAAGTTTTTCTGCATACCATCATTATCACATATCTATAAAAAAAAAGTAGGTCAACTCAATTGACATCGCAACCTTAGGTGAAAAGTTACATCTTACATTTCTCATCTTTCTATTCCATCACCATGAACGTGTTATTAACAAGAGAACATAAGTCAAATATGTATCACCATTTTTTCAAATTAAAAAAAAGTTATATCAATTGCATTACTACCTTTCAAAAAAAATAGCATCTTTATGTAAAACAACTTCAATTTTATAAAAAAAAAATTACTTTCAATTTATTTTGTAAAGACAACGTTATCTCCATATCCTTCATAAAATATCGCAATTATTAATTTCTAACACAGTGCATTTTAAAAGTTCCCAACATGTTATAAAAATGAAAATATGCAAATAATAACACACTCTTTGAAGCTCATTAAATTAAAATGATAGAGCTAAAATGTAAACGTATTGGTGGGAAAGATTGTTTTATTGCCAGAGGTGTAAACATTTCTTGAAATAGAATAAATTAATCGCTTTGTCCTCAAACTATCTAAAATTTCTATGTTATTAATCCAATATAAACAGTCAAACAAGTCTTAACAAATTATCAACACCACCTAAATTAATATAAACGTATGAACAAATATACTAGACCACATGAAGCATATGGACTGAATATTTTGAACTTTGAAATTTAACTTAATGTTTATAAGTTTGTAACATATAAACAAATTTCATTAAAAAAAAAACCTTCTATTTAAGTAACCATCGACTGGTGTTCTGTGCAATTGCTCATTTTCATCTATTTCAATATCAATTTTTGTATGATTTTTTTTCAGTCAGTGGATTTATGGCATTCCACTTGATGGAAGTTTTAATATTCTCTTCAAAAACAATGTGTATCAAATGTAAGGAAATTTATTTTTTTACCTATTTTACTGAGTATCGTGTAAAGTGTTGTACTTCATATCAAAATACACTAAACTTTTAATTCACTCACTTTTTTTTATTAATAAAGCATGTATGATTTAATCAATCTTATGTCTTTTATTTAATCAGAAAGTACTCGCTGAGAAATTCTGAAGACGTGTTTTACAATACAGCAGTGTACTGTCCGCTCTAAACGACATATAATTTCTCTGGCTATTTCCAAAACAATGAAATGACAGAAAACAATCACAAATGACAGGAAAACAATCACAATTCAAGTTACAAAATTTAAATAAATAATTTTGCAGTGCAGCAAATATGGACACAGATATGTCTTTAAAATCTTTAAAATCAAAACCCTGCAGTTTACGTACCTGTTAACAAATAAAATATGAGTGTCCCTAAACGCTACTTCCTTTTTTTTAATTAAATAAAATTTTCATTATCATTTATAATAGAAAAATATATTTGAGAAATAAATCAAACTAGGTTTTTCGACTGTAAACTATAGTTTACAATCGTAAACTATACATTACAAACCGTGAACTATGGTCAACAATTCGTTAACTAAGGTTTTCATTTGTTAAACTATATTTAATGGTTGTACGTTAACTATAGTTTACGAATGCTAATCTAAGTTTATCTGTCTGTAATAACACCTTTACAATAGATTTTGTTGATAAACATGAATTTCTTATTTTAGTAAACTATGAAATTTACAATAAAAAAAACTATAGTAAAGAATTGTTAATCATAGTTTCACAAATCATGAAACTATATTTATGAGATTGTAAACCATAATTTTCAAACTGTGAAACTGTATTAATCAGATAATCTATGTTTTGCAATCGTATGGTTTACGGTTCTAAAACATAGATTATCAAGTTAACTATCATGGTTTACAGATATAAAATACATGTATAGATTAACAAATTAACAAACAGACTTTAGTTTACATTCCGTAAACTATACGGCTTTACATTGGAAAAAAAGTTTATCAACTGTGAAACTATGATTAGCTCGTTTTTGTGAATTTGGCGTATAGCTTTCAACAAAGACCTTTTTTGCACTCACGGTCATTGATCAGTGAAGGGGTTTATTTGTATTCGCCAGTCACATATGAGACCTCGATGTTAAGGTCCCATTCGATGACCCGTGACTTTCACTTCTGCACCGAATGCTTGGCGAACAAACAGTCACGGCCTACATGTTTGTCTGTGTTTTCAGTTTGATGCAGTACGATAAAAGAGAATCGAAATCACTCATGAAGCATTATTTTTATTTAACGCTCTAGGTACTACGCATTGCCGATGTACCCACAACTGATATCTTGCTAAATATGGACACGCTGTCCAGTGAGAGCTTGTGCTGCTCTGCTATTTATACAGAATTCAAAAGGAGACCACGTCATCAAAAATGACCACAAAATGCTACTTTTGTTTGAACTCGAAAACCAGACATTTATTGAGGAAGAAAGGACACGTTAAAACCGGAAAATATATAGCTGTTGGTATATTTTGTAGATAAACTGATATTGTCCGGAAAAATAGCCAATCTCAAGATTCGTGATTACTGGACGGAAACAGGCCATGTTTTTGCTGGTCAAACGGAGGTCAAACTTGTTTGACACGGACAGCATGACCTTTTGGCATCCATTCAAATTCACTTGAAATAACAAATTTAATTCGTGATTTTTTTTTTATAAAAATTGTATCAAAATATATTAGAAAATATACTGGAAACAGGAAAATACAATTAAAAAGAATTTCCATCAGTCTTTGCAATCTAGTTTAAAAATGAAATTTCTCTTTGTATTATACATTAAATTATTTAAAAAATAAAATGTAAATTGGAATCAAATGAAAGGGTTTCCTTTTGTTTGTCATCTCATAAGAATATATGTTAAATCTTTTTGGTTTCCAAATTATTTTAGTGAAAGCATTAAATATATTTTCATCCTTTTTGTTTTTGTCTCTGAATTGAAATGGATTTTTTTTTTAATTCCCCAAGTATTTACATTGTGTAACTTGATGAATGTTATGTTCATTTCCACTATATCTCTCCATGTTTATATAAATTATTACTATACATTGTATCTTATTACAAGGCAGTGTGTGTATTGTTCAAGGAGCAGACCCCCTGATTATAGAGATAACTTTTCAATTTAAAAAATCCTAATACTGTTTACATTACCTACAATTTAAATGATAAAAGAATTTTCATTTTAATAAAAAATAAAAAAATAAAAATAATTTCAAATAAACTCCGCTTGACATTACTGTTAATAATTTTGAGCCTTTAAATAATCAATTCAATGAAATTTAACTAATTTTGAATAATTCTTGATTAATCAATTAAACACTTTGATGGAAAGGGTATTTTTAAATTTTTTTTTGTTTTTATTTTACATCGCACCTTTCCATTTATTTTCAGTTTGCAATCCTTACAAAATGAAAAAGAAATAATTTAATGAAACTTAAAAGAGTGGAAGTTATTTTTGTCAGAATGTAATTCCAAACATATATATGTGCATTATATAAACTTTTTGATTCTCAATCAATTCAACATTGACATTTACAAGCATGAAACCCGCCTACATCCGACATAATTATTAAACGGATATGTGTGGTCAGCAAGCGGCCTTGCGATTGGTTGTCTGTTCGGATGCTAATCACGTGGTTCTATGAATTTTTGTATAAATTAGCAACCTTTCTTGATTAAAATCGGACAGCCTGTCCCACACCACCGGTGGTATGTTGCACAGTTAACAACACTGGTTTTACGTCCATTCGTGCTATCAATGCTAGTGCAAATGTACTTTGAAAACCATATTAAATGTGCAACAAAATTAAAGATTTAACACTTTTTGGGGTGTATTTTTAACACACTTTATGCTTCTCTGTGTTCTCTACCTTCAGTTGGTTTTTTTTTTTACGAATTTCACTGGGCCCATACATGTAGGTGCGTGACAGTCTGTCAATATATCGAGTCTTAATAGTGGTAAGCGCGCTTGCACCGTACGTCAGAGGCCCTGGGTTAGAGTCCTGGTTGAGGCGTATTTTTTTACCACCTGTTATACAAAAAAGAGAGTTTATAAATCGAATTAAATGAGGTCATGTCCAAATATATGAAAAGGAATCGATATGGTCCATGGTTGGGCACAATTCACGAGAGGTTTGCTTTCCCCTATATTTAATATACTGAAAATATGTAGTATTCAAATATATTATACATAAGTGATATATTTAAAACTATGTTTTTCATACTAATTGTTAAGACTTTATTTATATGGATTTCTTCTGTTGCCCGGTCATGCCAAGGAGCACACGATGGGTGTGGCCGGAGAACAGGGGAAGACGGGGTGTGCACTCATCTCTAGGGCACCAGAATCCATCTCTGATGTTTCTAGAGGTCCGTAGTGCGTAGCACTCTATTTTGATTGTTTAATTGGACTTTCGGTTTTAATATAAATCTATTTTATTTAGTAGATATGTGTAAGCTTAATGAAATAAGCTCACATTTATTGTACTTTACCATGCATTTACATTTTTTTTTACAGTTTATGAAAACGAATTTTAGTAAGTATGTTGTCCTTATAAAAAGTACAACAAATATATGCCATGACCATACAAATCTCAAATAAGAAGCTTATTAACTATTTTATTAACAAAGTTAATTATCGGATATTTAGTTAATGATTGTCATAATACTTTTCATATAATATATCAGGGTGCAAATGAAAAGTTATTTTTTATATTGTTCACAGATAAACAAATTTTGTTTCTATAAAGATAGCACTATAATTTTTTCGAAGAATAAAATCCTTTTGAAATTTGTGTAAAATACACGGTTATCAGCTGAATTAAATTTTGAGCTTACAAAATACCTGGTAAACCTTTATCCGTTAATCTTTTGTAATACAGGTCCATGGAGTACTGTTCT